CCTAGCCCGAAGAACGCCCGACCCATAGAAATTGGACATTCAATGAATCGCAAGGCGCGTAAGCAAAGGGTCCTAAGTACGTACGTCGTAGAATGTAGCGGTTCTATATGAGAGGCCGTGCTTACGATTTGGGAAAGTATTCCCCATAACAATACTTAGAACCCGTTTGAGTTAAGCCATCTTATCCCGAAGCGGCTAAACCCTAAACCCCTAAACCCTAAACCCTAAACTCTACGTTTGGGGTCAGCTGTCATGGTTCAAAGATTAGGGATTCGGGGTTTCCCTCAAAATCCAGAAGTTTTGCAGGGTACTCCTACAGTGTGAGGGCTCCTTATTAGCATTTTCTTTATATCAGTCGTTGAAGGGTTTAGGTTTTAGGGTTTAGGGTTTAGGGTTTAGAGTTTAGGGTTTAGGGTTTGGTGTTTAGGGTTTAGAGCTTAGGGTTTAGGACCCTAACCATTTTGGTTGTGTCAAGCCTGTCGAAGCTTCGAGATACTGCTACGGACGTGCGCCGAAGGCGCGACTTTCCGCTTGCTGACGGTCGGCAAGCTAAAATGTGGGGCCGGCTGCTCTAGCGTTTGCGGCTTAGGGTTTAGGGTTTAGGGTTCAGCGTTTAGGGTTTAGGGTTTAGGGTGGTGTTTCCTGTTTGCATGGGGCTTTCATTAAGCGCTTTTCACTGTACTTTCGGGGTTAGTATGACCCCCAAACCCTAAATAGATTGTCTGAACCCGTATGCCCTAAATAGCTTTGCAGGAGGGATCTAACATAAGGGCCGAGATGATTACCAATACCATTGTGTGGGCTCCTTGTTGTGGTTTTAGTATAATATACCCCCAAACTCTAGTCCAAGTTTAAACTCTTCGCCGTCGTCCGCCTCGGCCCGGCCGCAGACAAAGAGGGCCAACGGAACGGCCGATGCCTTGAAGGCGCCGCTGGCGGAGCGGACGAGGGGGGGGGTCCAAAAAGCCCGAGTGGGTTGAGGGGGGTGGGCCCCCCCACCCCCCACGATTATGTTTTGAGGGGTGGGGGTCACTGGGGAGGGGATTAAAAGGTGGGGAATAGAGGATAGGAACCTCTGATAGGAATTTTAAACGCCTCGCGTAACGAACTGCTGGTGCCGTGGAGCGGACGAGGACCGGGGAAGGAGAGGAGATTGCGTACAAACAACCAGAAGCATTTGCAGGACTGTGGACGGCTGCTGCGGAAAAGTGGAAGCAATGGAGGAAAGAGCGGGGACAGAGAGGGCGAGATTTCACGGCAATACCTTGGGGCTCATTTATGGGTTCAGGGGTGGGGGTTAGTGGGGAGTGGGGAGGGGATTACAGAGGTGGGGAAAGGCCCTTTTTGTAGAACTCTACTATGCATCGCTTATAGACCCCTTTAGTGGAACCCTTTCACTAATCCTGGCTCCTATATTATATATCTCTTTGGGCGTTGCTGATGTCAGCGGAGTGAAGGATGAAGCTTGGTCATCTTTTCTCAAGAGTGTTTGCCTTAGAAAACTCACTAAAAACCTGCCTACTTTTTTTTTGTAGGAAGCCTATAAAATCTATATTAGGATTCATCTGCAAGAAGTAGGTGTTGGTAGCTTAAGGTCGGGCAAAAAATGTAAGGACTTTTCCTTTTGCCACGTCCAACAGCCAGTGCCCACCCCAGGGTTTAGAGGGACATTCATGGGCTTTCGGGTTCGTAACTAAGCCCGAACCACGCATTTCCTGAACCCCTAAACGCTAAACCCTAAACCTTAAACCCTAAACCTTAAACCCTGAACCCTAAACCTTAAACCCTAAACCCTAAAGCCATAGAGTCGGGGTTTCGGAGTTTCTCCCCTACGCCCCTAAACCCAAAGCCGTAGACCCCAAGCCGTAGACCCCATACCCTAAGCCCTAAACCCCTAAACCCCAAATCCCTGCTTTCAACATTCCAGCAGCGGCCTCCTGAGGCCGTGTCAGTCGTGGCTTTACAAAGGTTTAAAGGGGTTCTGTCTGTAGGATTGGAGTTTAGGGTGCATAAGGTTTAGGGTTCATGGTTTTACATAGGCTTGGTAAGTAAGGTTTCTATTAAGGTCAGGGCTTTAGGGTTTGGTTTCGGGTTTATGGTTTAGGGGTTGAGATTCGGGGAAACACCTTAGTTGTGGTCAAAGGTAGATTTGAACACAATGGTTAGCTTGCTCACGACCCTACGTATTGTTTCCTCTAAAATACATGTAGAGCGTCTCGAGCAGATGATGCTCAGGAGTAGGGTTGCGCTGACCCCTATCCGTCGATTCAACGACGTTCGTAATTTGTCGGCCATACTCTGTTGTGGGTCTTATAGCCTAAACAGAAGCTAGACCCAAAGCCATCCTAAACCCTGAATCCCGAAAATTTTCGCACACACAAGACTACAAGCAATATGCATATATATCTATATATATATATACATTATGCGCATATATATATATATGCTACCCCCCCCCTCCAAAACCCACCCCAGAAGCCGAACCGATAA